AAAGTGCCTCTGATTTTCGCTAACTTCCTCTTCAGTTAGCTGCTTAAGTAGATCAGTAATGCATGTGTATAATATGGATGAAATGCAGACTCGCAGGTATTTCTCAGTGACATGATGGTTGGCGTATATGGCAAGCTGCTTCTGCTTTTAATTTTCAAGATTGCTGCTTAGATCCTCATCGTCCCTGTTTAGCTGTGATACAAACTTTTTTTCTTATATGCTGAAAAAGTCTTTTTCCCAAATGCATACAGAATCCTTTTATAACTGGGCATTCATGTTTAGGTTAAACCCAGATCTCTGGTTAGATGCTGTTTTTACTGTTCAGGTGATTTACAGTCTCCCAGTTCATTTATGGTTGTTTTTCCGATTGTTGAATGATGAGCATATCCAGCTACATTGTTCTGAAGGTTATGATAATGTTCCAAAAGGACTAAAGGTGTTTCAAGAATCCACATGGATTTATAAATATTCACTTATTCAGCTTCCATCTTTTGCTTGTTCTGATAGTTATTGAGCGATGTTTAATGTTGACAAAAATAGCACTCAGTATTGGTCAGGCCTGTGAGGTATTCAAAGCTGTGGATATAGTTTTATAATTTAACCCTGTCCACAACCCTGTCTTATGTGGTGTGACCTTTGGACTTCACGGTGCTCTTTGTTTGGTAATGTTTTCTAACAAACCACTGAGAATCCATAGTACAGCCTGTTGTATGCATAGATAAAATCACACACAGGTGAACTACTATTTATCTTTGTGACTTCTGAAGGCCACTGATTCTCTGGAATTAATACTGAGCTGAATACAAATGCATGCCAATCTTTTCAGAGTTTATCTGTAAAAAAAAATTGAAAACCGTCTCTTTTCCCTTCCACTTTATAGTATGTTTTTTTTGTGTGTGTTTTGGCTTGGTCTATTACATTGAAATGATGATAAAATAAACTGAATAATTTGAAAGATGATAAAATGTAAATCACTGTATGAAGAAATATGAATAATCTCTCAAACTGTAAGTAGTTTTTTGTTGGTATCCAGAAATCGACTTGGCTCTGTTTCAGATCTGAATTAAAGTCATGATGTGCTGCATTGGTATTAGTAGATCAGAAACGGAATATTTTTCTTGTAGCGTTCAACAAGTGCAAAGGAGAAAATCCACATAAACAAAGAAACCTGAAAAACAGCCTCTACAGAGCTCTTTGCTTACAGATTTGAACCATCACAAAGGCATGGCTCTTTAGTGTTTGTCAAACAAAACAGGCTGATGGGATTATTTAAATAATTTTAATGAGGTTGCACTTGAATCAAACTCAAGGATCCACCATTATGCATGTCGTCCAGTTTGTGGGGTTTTCACTTCGGGACGTTGTCCTCTCAGCCCTCAGGAGCAGGAGGACCTGGCTCTGGCTCAGGCTCTGGCCGCCAGCGAAGAAGAATACAGACGCCAACAACAGAGACAACAGGTACCTGGAATTTAGGCGTCAGTAGCATGCTTACAGGAACACATGTAGGTACACAGTCGTTATGGCAACCCATCCTCTTCTGAACTTTTGTTTTGTTTTTTTAGCAGCAGATGAAAGGCTAATTTACATAAAATTTCTAGTAGGTTTTTGAAAATGTGTGAATGTAAGTTTTCTGTTTCTAACTGTTTTTTTTTTTTTCTTTTTTCTCCTTTCTGTTTAGGGAAGAGAGACCAAACAGTCCACCTGCTGCCTTTCTTAGTCTTGGAGCCCCATGTATGCTTCAAGCTCTGCTAATTGTTTGCTAGATAATGTACTTCTCAGATGTCAGTACCCAGAATGATTGATTGTTCCATGAAGAATTGCTCTTGAAAGTTGCTGCAATCTTGCCACCTTCCACATATAAGCACATACACTTTTCAGCAGGATCTGTCATTTTTAATGAATTAGCTGTTCTTGTACATATTTTATATGCCAACCATGATGATGCTGTTATAATATAGATATTGAATAAATTAAAGGTGCACTTAAATTTTAACTTTGTCCTTTCAGTGTAATTTAATGCAGCTTGTCTAAAGTGCTAAGTCTTGTTGTTAAGGGGGATGAGGAAGTCCATCAGAGGAGTGAGGTGGAATAAATTTGTGCATGCTTTTAGTGGGAAATGTCAGTGTGTGAGGATGTTTTCTGGCGTGTTGACAGATTTGTTGTGTTGACCTGGAATATTCATGATCACATTTCTTAAATTTAGCTGTTTGGGTTTTTTGCTTTTTATCTTTAATTGGAAAATGGTTGATTATGATTCAAGTCAAATGTAAACAAGATAAAAGCATGCATAATGCAAGAGATAAATGGAACTAGAAATAATTAATTCTACTGTTGATGACAATTAACTCAACAGTTATTTTTTGCTAACTCCATTAGAGATACACAAAGTGCATCAGTATGAGCGATGTTAAACTTCTGATTTTGCTGTATACAGCATATCAAATCAACTCAGGTTAATTGTGGTAATCAAGTTTTAACTTACAAGTGCCTTTCTGCTCAGACTGTAATAATGATCAGAATGTCAGTTTATTCAAAACATTGCAGTTTAGATCACAATTATAATTCAACATAGAGAATTGGAGATAAAGGGTTAACCGAAAAAAGATTAGTCACTGCTGGTGGCATCACTGTGGAGAAAGTATTTTCCCCTTTACACATTTCTTCTGGCCTTTTGTCAAAATAAATCCTTTAAACTAATAATTCTGCTTATGAATTAATTGCAATTTTTACAATTTTTTTTAAAGCTGAGTTCAGCTTCACTCACCTCGGATACGCTTGATTATTGCCAGATGTGCATGATCAAAAAATGACCTAAACAGGACCTGTATAATACATAGTCAAAGATCTCTAAAATCAGACTCAATGAACTGAAGTAGCTAAATTGACAAATGATCCAGAAAATCATTGTAGACCTCACTTCTATTAAAATGACACATAGAAATAAAAAGTGCAAATTCCAGTATGCAAGAGACTAAAAATATACATAGTAATAACATAATGACAAAGCAATACATTTAAAGCGAAATAAACTTTTCTGAATACTTTTTTTCTAATATATTGTAAGGAAGGTTACGCTTTATTTGATCTTAAGCTTGGTTTTGTATTTCTTTATTTCAGTTTTCCAAGCCTAGATCAGTAAATGCGGCGCAGCTCGGGAGACGAGACTAGTATCGCGAGATTTGTTGTTTTACGTTCTGTCTATTCTGTTCTTGACAGCTGGTGAAAGTTAGCAACCAGTGCCTAACGGCTGATCCGTTATGTTTCTATCGATGGTTATGGCACTCACCGCTCACTGCCCGGACATTGCTAATTGCTGTCTGTGTCAGAGCTAGAGGCCAGAAGCTACACAATTCTTCCGTGAGAACAGCTCGGTTGTCGTTGTAACTCATCTGTGCTGGAAGAAGTAAAGTTCATGCAAGAGACCCTTCGATCTTGTGCATCTGCAACTTCCACACGCCTCCGTCACACCGGAAACCAAAAGCACGACAATATAAATCCTTACAGTCGGTATGATGTATTAATTGTGTCTGGTGTGTGTGTGTGTGTGTGTGTTTTTTTTTTTTTTTTTTGGTTAAAAGATGTTTGTTGCTATCTGCACTGAATTTACTCAAAGGGTAGAGTTTTACCCTCCTGGATGAGACGTTGATAAACTCTTGGAGTAATTCTTATAGGTTGACCTCTCGGGTTCATGACGGTTTGTTTTCTGTGACGGCTCTCACTGTGTTGTCACAGCCCAGCCAGCACACCTAGGTGGGCCCCATATGGGATATAAGTGGGCAGGCAATATGGGTCCCAAAAGGGTTTGTCCACGGTTTCCATGGTGGCCCCACATGGGTTTGCCCAAGTAAATTTTTATGGGTGCTGACTGGGTTTTCAGTGGGTCCCACATGGTTAACTCACATGAGGCCCATCTGTGGCCCACTAGGGTGCTGTCAGGAATATTTACCTGGGTCCCAATTGGGTCTGAACTGGGCTAGAATATGGGTACCAAGTGGGTTTGTCCACGGTTTCCATGGTGGCCCCACATGGGTTTGCCCAAGTAGATTTTAATGGGTGCTGACTGGGTTTTCAGTGGGTCCCACATGGTTAACTCACATGAGGCCCATCTGTGGCCCACTAGGGTGCTGTCAAGAATATTTACGTGGGTCCCAATTGGGTCTGAACTGGGCTAGAATATGGGTACCAAGTGGGTTTGTCCACGGTTTCCATGGTGGCCCCACATGGGTTTGCCCAAGTAAATTTTTATGGGTGCTAACTGGGTTTTCAGTGGGCCCATGTGGTTAACTCACATGAGGCCCATCTGTGGCCCACTAGGGTGCTGTCAGGAATATTTACCTGGGTCCCAATTGGGTCTGAACTGGGCTAGAATATGGGTACCAAGTGGGTTTGTCCACGGTTTCCATGGTGGCCCCACATGGGTTTGCCCAAGTAGATTTTAATGGGTGCTGACTGGGTTTTCAGTGGGTCCCACATGGTTAACTCACATGAGGCCCATCTGTGGCCCACTAGGGTGCTGTCAAGAATATTTACGTGGGTCCCAATTGGGTCTGAACTGGGCTAGAATATGGGTACCAAGTGGGTTTGTCCACGGTTTCCATGGTGGCCCCACATGGGTTTGCCCAAGTAGATTTTAATGGGTGCTGACTGGGGTTTTCAGTGGGGCCCACATGGTTAACTCACAAGAGGCCCATCTGTGGCCCACTAGGGTGCTGTCAAGAATATTTTACGTGGGTCCCAATTGGGTCTGAACTGGGCTAGAATATGGGTACCAAGTGGGTTTGTCCACGGTTTCCATGGTGGCCCCACATGGGTTTGCCCAAGTAAATTTTTATGGGTGCTAACTGGGCTTTCAGTGGGACCCAGATGCCTTAATCCTGTAGGAACAATTCTCATCTAACCTGGATGTGAATTACATTCATAGATATGCAATCTTGATCAACAATCCAAAGTCTAGCTTAAAACGTGTTCAAATAAAAAAAATAAAAAAAAGAGATGAAAAATTTATTTTGCTCAAGGCTTTTATTTAGTAATTTAAAATATTGTCAGGAGTTATTTTTTACCTCACTACAGCAATTATTAGAACTTCATTAATACTCAGGGAATGGTGCCACAAAAAGAAATCTGCAATTATTCACGACATCTTTGAAAATAACAGAAGCTAGTTTACTATAACAAACTTATAAACAGATCTATAAATATATATCTATAGATGCACACAAATAAAGACACCTACATATTTTCCTACAGGTCTATAAATGTATACATCTAAATACTATCTATATAACTTTATACACGTATATTCACATTGATACACACAATGTGAATATACACACCTATATAGATCTTTCACAATACATTTTTGTTAAACATTTTTAAAAATAACCTACATGCCATATGCATGCTTAAATTTGAAATCTCTCATACTTTACTGAAACTGTCCATCTTGAAAGACCTCCCCAACCTGAGTTTGAACTGGCAGTCTCTCTAGTCTATTTCCACTTCCACTCGGGCTCCAGTAAACCACTTCGAGAGTCTTTGCTGTATGCTTGTGTGATTCTGTAGATGGATAATTTCTTTTAAGTCCCCTGAAATAACAAGCAAAGGTAGAAATTGTATTAGTGTTTCATTTTAGCACAATGTAACATTAATGAGATTTGCATCTCCCCCTTCATGGGGCAAAAATGCTTGCAGAGATATGCCATAATCAAAAGGACTCTTGAGTCATCATTATTATGTACAGAAACTATATTCTTCCCGTAAATTTAAAATATATCCATCTATATACATCAACTACGAGGTTCTATCGTGGTCTTGTGGTTCTTTTAATACTGTTTGAAATGCAACCCATATTACCTTCAAATTTTTAAGTTCTTCACAACAGTGAAAGAATACTGTTCAAATAAAACCAAAAATTGAAGACTCAATTTTTAACCTAAAAACATTACTAAAAATAACAAACAAAAGCATAAAACAACAAAAATAAATTAACATATGTTTAAGAAAGAAAAGTGAAAAAAAAAGTTACTCTGACAATAAAAACTGATATTTACCATACAAAACATCAAAGAGACGCAGGTCCAAGAGCTTGTTTCCAATGTTGGCCAAAAAGGTTGAACTGGACTTCCAGTTCATGGGACATGAGGAATCGCACAGCTGGTTGTATTGTGTCATCTAAGGATGCTCCTCCAATTTCTGTAGCCATGGCAACCTTAAGTACAATGACAATAACAGGACAACATTTTGTTTTTGTTCATCAGTTTGTCATTATATCACTCTTATGTGCTTAATTTTACTAACATATTAATCTACCTTTTCAAATCATTATAAAGTGATCTTCACACGCTGATCCTCTTGAAGCCTGCAAAAATATATCTTTTATTAGTGCAATATAACATTTAGACTTTTCAAAAAAATTAAAAATTAAGGCAAAACAGCCTTTGTATAGATTAACTACTGAAGCCTTATATTGTAAACACTGAACAGTTTTGCAATTATCCTAATTTCTTTGTTAACGTGACAGGACTAAGACAGTAGTATTACTCTTAAGAGAAGTTTAGAAAATCACTATAAATGTAACTAATAAAGCCTAAAACATTGCACATATAAAAAAAATAGAGCTACAATTAAATATAAGTACATTTCACATAACTGCTAGCTAAATATTGCAAAAATATCAAAAAGAATTTCTTAATCTTTCAATATTTGTTTCAGGCTTGGCCACTGATTGACATGATGGGTTTCAATTTACGGACCCACATGCAGTAACCACACGTTGGATAGGGATGAGTGAGTGATTTATTTACAACAGGACAAAATAAAATCTATTTCCCGGACATCAGCGGAAGGGTGAGGACCACTCGACCAGGTTGGCCTGAAACGAGAACTTAGTTATGACGGGCTTAGAATGAGTGATCGGAGGGGAAACAGGAACAGGCTTACTTCGGTGCGGGTCTTTCGAGGCGTGGGTGTGAGATGCCAGGTTCCTGAGAGAGGGTGTGCAGCGGTTCCGAAGGTAAATGCGAGGTGGGAATGGAAGAGAGCTGGAAGCTCGAAGGGTGGAGTGGAGGCAGTGGAATCGGCGGAGCGAGCAGGCAGGTATTCACTGGTGAGTTCTCGAATGAGGCGACAAAACCCCTAGGATCGAACAAACACAGAGACCAGGTGACTTCTAGTAGACACAGAAACGTTCTCAGAAAACTGTTCACAACAGGAGAGGCCAGAGTGACTACCGGTGTATGCAACCATCTAGCATACACCAGTAGAATCTTCAGTCAATCTAGCGTAGACTGAAGATTCTGCTGCTCCTCCACCTGTGCCAAGCTCCACGGGCTCCTCACAAAGATCCTCGCTGAAATAAGATGCGACACTCACATACACACACAGGAACCCTGACACTGATGACTACTCTAGACCAACACAATAGCGGCAGATTGAAATAAACTATGACATAACAAAACGCTTTAAAGTGTCACACAACAATTAAAAAAAGAATTTAAAAATATGAACTACAATGCCTTCATCCTATTTACAAAAAACCTTTTAGGCCCAATATACTGAAACCACATGGGCCCCATATACTGTTCCCATTTCTGTCCCATGCCCAGTTAGCCCACGTTAATGCTGAATTGGGCCCATACATTTAACCCAATTGAGCCAACAATATGAGTCCCATTTCGGTTAACCTTATGAGCCTCACGCAGTTGGCCCAGATAAAACCCATGCCCTCTTATCATTACCTATATAGCCCAAAGCTAAACGATTCAATGCAGTTTTATTGAAAAAAACGACAATAATAATCTTGCATGGGTCCCAGCCAAACCAGCCTGAATCCATACATGAGACCCACCCATGCATGCTGATGTGACTGTGAGAAAGATTATTAAAAGCCCAAGTACATAGAATGAAAGCACAATAGTTACTCTTTTTAAATCATACAAATGGTTTTATTGTGTCCAGACACTTTGTAACAACCTCTGCTAGCAACATAGATTCTTCAGTGAACCGATTTCATTCTGCCTCGTTGGCGCTCAAATGAACCAATGGCAGCTCAACAAATAGAATGGCGGCGGTATTTGAAAATGGTTTGGCCCACAACGCTGCGTTTGAAATCGGTCTGCACTAAAATCTGCTTATTGTGTGTAGCTGTGTGTGTTAGCAATATCATAAAAAGTATCACCCTAAAGAAAAGCAAAATAACAATAACAATTAAGTCTCTTTTGGGATACTGTCGTCCGATTTGTTACGAGCAACAATTTTTTTAACAAGCGATTTAAAATCTCTCCCTAAAATTTGGTACTAGGTAAAACAGAAGAAATGTACTTACAGATTCTTTCATAGATCAGCCAACAGGCAGACTCCGCGCCAACGGACTGATGAAGAGAACAGGCTTGATTTTGAAACCGCATATCCATCCGCGGGTCATTTTACGTTTTTCCAAGAAACACAAGATTAATTTTTGAGAGTGCTACATCGGTTTAACAAATGTAAAACCGATGTAGCAAAAGTTCTCAATGTAAATAAATACATTTCGTTGTCCTCCTTATTCAAATATGTTTTGGAACTATTTTCTTCAGTGGATGTGTAAAGTGCCTACCGGTACTTCAATTCACCAACCTTTATTGGCAACGGTGCCTCAGAGCAAACAATGAACAAAAAGGTAATTGGAACCAAATGAATCATTAACAGAAATGTTACGTTTTTTTATTTTTTATTTTATTTATACTGATGACTTGGAAAATGTTTGCAAATATATGAAAAAACAGATGCTCAAAATTTACTCTTGTCTCTCACTTGCTAATGAGTTTTGTTTATTTTCTAAACATTTTGTGATATTTTTCACAATGGTCTGATCTGAACTATTTGTCCAAATAAAAATTTAAATCTTGCTGCGAACAGGCTGCAGTAAACTCTATGGATGTCTAAACATCCAATTGATAAAAAATAATAATAAAAATAAAATAAAAAGTTATTATTATTAAAAATAAAACAAGGACTAAAGCTCAACCATGACCACTCTGTGCTTAATTTTGAGTAAGCACCAGAATATGAGTTTACGTATATATTTCAAACAGATTATTTCAAAAAAATGTTTTAAGACATTCAGACTGCAATAATAAAATGAAAAAAAAGTTAGGGGTTCAAAGTGTAGCAAGAGCAATACTGAACTGGCTTTTGCTTTGACATACAGTGAAAAGTTTGAAAGTGACAGGGTAACCACATTGTCGATTAAAATGTTCTACAATTTTGTCCCATTTAGACCATGAAAAAAAGTACTAGGGGCTACATTTTCCTGCCCAGGTCCAACCCATGTATGGTTAGCCCATGCTCATGTCATGTTAGTTTAATGTGGACAGCCCACATTGGGCTTCTCATGTGGGGCCCATGATACTGAAACCACATGGGCCCCAAATAGTGTTGCCCATTTCTGTCCCATTTCCAGTTAGCCCACATTGTTGCTGAATAGGGCCCATACATTTAGCCCAAATGGGCCAGCCATAGGGGTCCCATTTTAGTTAACCATATGTGTCCCATGAGGTTTGCCCAGATAAAACCCATGACCACTCATTACCCATATGGCCTACTACAAACCCAAGGGGGCCCACTCATGCGTACTGGCTTGGAGACTGGACTGGACTGTTCTAGCATAAAATAATAACATGAAAAAATGTTAAGGGTTCAAAGTGTGGCTAGAGCAATACTGAACTGGTTTAAAAAAATAAAGCATTGTAGAATTATTTTTAATGTTTTAATATCCTGGTCCTCTGGAAGCCTATTTGTTTGTAAATGAGCCAGGCATAGATATCACACAGTGAACATGTTTTAGGTTCAAACATTAGGAAGACATGGATGTTCTGTTCTATCAGCAAAATATATCCTTGGGTGATCTCCAAGACGAGGTCACCTTCGTCCTGGAGACCTCGACAATGGTCAAGGTCACCAACCTTTACTATCGTCGAGGTTTCCTACAAGGAAAAAATTAAATTCTACAATTTACCTTACATCAACTCCATTAGAGGCCAGCTGAGTAACAATTGCCTTGGCAAAGACTATAAAGCTGACATCTCGGGTAATTCTTTCCAAGTTTTGAGAATCTTGCTCTTGCAGCTTTTGCTTTGACATACAGTCAAAATTTTGAAAGTGACAGGTTAACTACAGGGGTTGGACAATGAAACTGAAACACCTGGTTTTAGACCACAATAACTTATTAGCGTGGTGTAGGGCCTCCTTTTGAGGCCAATACAGCATCAATTCGTCTTGGACAAGTATGGGGCCAAGGGAATGCCATGATATGGCAGCCCACACCATCAATGATCCACCCCCATGCTTCACTCTGGCATACAACACTCTGGCTGGAATGCATCTTTGGGGCTTCTCCACACCGTAACTCTCCCGGATGTGGGGAAAACAGTAAAGGTAGACTCATCAGAGAACAATACATGTTTCACATTGTCCACAGCACAAGATTTTCGCTCCTTGCACCATTGAAACCGACGTTTGGCATTGATACGAGTGACCAAAAGTTTGGCTATAGCAGCCCGGCTGTGTATATGACCATGTGGAGCTCCCGACGGACAGTTTTGGTGGAAACAGGAGAGTTGAGGTGCACATTTAATTCTACCGTGATTTGGGCACCGTGGTTTTATGTTTTTGGGATACAATCCAGGTTAGCACCCAAACATCTCTTTAAGACAGCTTCATCTTGCATCCACAGTTAATCCTGTTAGATGTGGTTCGTCATTCTTGGTGGTATGCTGACATTACCCTGGATACTGTGGCTCTTGATAATCACAAAGACTTGCTGTCTTGGTGAACAATTTGCCCTCTTTTGAACTCCAGTATGTCCCAAATAATGTTATGTGCATTGCAATATTTTGAGCAAAACTGTGCTCTTACCCTGTTAATTGGACCTTCACACTCTGCTCTTACTGTTGCAATGTGCAATTCATGAAGATTGGCCACCAGGCTAGTCCAATTCAGGCATGAAACCTCCCACACTAAAATGAGAGGTGTTTCAGTTTCATTGTCCAACCCCTGTACATTGTTCTACAATTTTGTCTCATTTAGCCCACTTAAAAAAGGACTGGGGTCTACATATCCACACCCAGGTCCAACCTGGGCGTGGATAGTACTGACCACACTGAACCCACAGTGGGTTCAGTGTGGTCAGCCCACATGGTCTCCCCATGTTGGGCCCATGACA